TGGCCATGGGACCCTACCAGAGGTGGTAAATTATCCCTGAGGAAGGCAGTTTGCAGGGAAGTTTTAAAATTCAGAAAGAGCCCAGCTCTCTGAATCTGAGTCCGTGCAAATGAATTTTTTTGGCATTTGTTTTTAATGTCCTGTGATGTGTGGGTGAAAAAGCCAGCGAGCTAGACTGGTAATTAATTTTCCTGACAGAAACACCAGACAATGAAATTACCCTGCCACAAAGCAGGGTTGCTAAAGTAAATACTCTGCCAGCAGCAGGCCTGAAAGCAGGACGGGGTCGTGTGTGAGGTGCAAGCAAATGATGAGATGGCACTTCTGCCTCTGGGGACCTGTGGGTGCTGCCAGCACGGGGACCCTGGGGCACTGGCAGCACTCTGGTGTACACAGGCACATTCAAGCTGGGCTCCAAAGGATGGGGGACTGACTGGACTCACTGCTGAGCCAAGGAACAGGTCACTCGTTGCTGTCCAGGCAAGTAATTTGGTCAGAAAGGGGTAGGAGATGTGGGAAGTGGGGATGGTTGCTTTTGTCCTGGAGATAGAAGCTCTGGGCAGGACTCTTCAGTCTTTCCCAGGCTGGTGGCAAGTGGTTTCTAAACCTTTGGTCTGTGATGGTGAGATTTGTGTGAGCTGTAGAAGAGGTTGTGCCTGTGCATGCAGGAGGGGAGTGCCTTTTGTTGGAAGACATCGAGGGCAGCTCATGGGAGAGGAAGGACAGGAGGGCAAAGTTTTCTGTTTTCCTTCTGTGTGTCTTGTACTAGAGGCAGGAGTTACTGTGCCAAGAGCGTTGCCGATGCACAGCCAAGAAATGGGTGGAGAGCAGGAAATGGGGATGTTCTTGCATGTATTGAGGTATCTGGCAGCTGGCTCCATTGTGTGCTGTCAGACAAGGTCCTCACCACAATCGAAAGGTTTGGTGAGTCTGTGTTAAAAAAACTGTATTGTTGGTACAGAAAATATTTCTCTGTGCAGTCATGGAGAGAGATCTGCTGAAGATCTCCGTGCTGTTCGGGAGGGTCTCCTGCCATGTGAATCGTCCTTCTGATTTATGATTGCGGTACTCGGATGTGCACACATCATAGGGCATTTTCCCTTGTCACACAGTGTTAGCAGCTGCAGAGTGGAGAAATCTCACACAAGAACTGGTTAAGGCATGGAAACTGTTTTCTTTACTTTTTGGAAAGAGAATTACACCATCTTTAATGCTGAGCTAAATCTGAGTGCTTTTAGGAAAACAAGGGTCAGTTGTGGAGTGGACTGCATGCACATTTTAGGACCAGAGTTATTTAATGTATTAATTATCTGTAAAAAGTGCTGGACCAGTACTGAAGTGTTCAAGCATGCAGATATCACAGACTTGCTTAGGTTAGGCTGCAGAAAAGAGTGAGGAGCATTTAAAGGGCTTGATCTAGATTACAGGAAACATTATGCCAGATCAGTGCAGTACTGAAAGGCAGTAAACACTGGAAGAGAAAAAATGAACTATTTCTGCATAATTCTGTGTCCTAAATTAACTGCAGCTTCTCTGGAGAAAGGACTGTGTGTCTCAGAGGATCTCCCAGATAAAACATCTGCTGAAATGCCTCGTGTCACTCCAAAAGCAAACAAAATATTAAGCTTAGGGAAGACTGGAACGCGAAAGCATTCTGCAAATAGTGTAAAATAAGTCTGGGGAATGTCTTTGTGTTTAACTCTTTCTAGGTCTGTTTAGCCTGTCTCCAAGCAGTCATGTTAGGAAGAGGAGTTGTAGGGTCAGGCAGTGGAAGTGGATTGAAACATCCATGGGATGGTACACTGAGAAGCCAGAAGCTGCTGCAGACATGGGAGAACAGGGCAGAGCTATAAAAATAGCTTGTGTTAAAGGACAGGTGATTCAATCACTTCCATCTTCACCTCTAGACCAATCTATGTGAACATGAAGTGAAAGGTGACAAATTTAAACCTGGTGAAGGAAAACCAAGCTTTAAACAGCTGAGCTAGGATGCTATTGAAAGCAGAAGGTTGCCTGTGGAACTCTGTGCCACAACATGTGATGGAAGTCAAGATCTCACCTTGTCTTAAAAAACTGACATGCTTATGTTAAGAAAGAGAGGAGTTGCACACTAGATCCTATGTACAGAAGGATGTATGCATCCATAACTGAGCATAAAGAACAACATCCACCACAGTAGAGATTCAAAGGTATTTTATCAATGGACAGATTATTTCATTACAGAGCTCGTAGCATTCTGCCCCAAAATGCTTGGTATTTGCCATCTCAAGCAGGCAGAACACTGCTCCTGGTGCCTGCAGCTCCCTCCTTCACACAGCAAACAGGAGGTATCTGCTGGCTGAAAACCTGGCAGCCTGTGTGGCGTCCACTACCTGTTGCTCTTGAGCTGTCTTAATGACTGCTTAATTACATTAACAAGACCTTTTTGTCTTAGGCCACTCCCTCTCCATGGAAAAATCACAGTTATGATGTGAAGACTGTGAGAAAACCACAGCAACTGGTGGCTGTGATGTACATAAGGCCCCTAGATACAGTCCCTTCTCACAGGCATTCTCACCATTGTTAGAATTCATAGAATGAGTGGTGTTCTGTTTAGTTGCATTTTATGTGTTTAAATAATATGGACATTGATTAGTGCTTTTCTTCCCAATTGCAGACATGGAAAATTTCTTCTGCATGTAAAAAATAAATTCTCTCCTAATTCCTGCACTCCAGAAAGTGGAGCTCTCGGGAAAACCCACTGGACAGCTAAAGACTCAGGAGTGAAAAAAAAAAAAAGAAAAAAAAAAAGACATTTTGGAACCTCAAATTCTAGGTCATCCCTTCTTGCAGGGGTCTGAAGGTGTTGGCAGTGTAAGTGTGGGGAGAGAGGAAAGGAGGTGTGTGCTGCATATGACAGCAGTGCAAGTGTTTTCTGTGAACAGGGAGTTTTCCATACAAAATCATGTTGGGAATATCCCTGTAGCCCACCCCTCCACTTGAGTTAGTGGGAGGGATTTGAAGTTCAGGCGATTCGTGGCTGAGCTCTCATTAGTGACCGGGGACATTTCGTTCACAATGTGGAAGGCAGGCAGGGAGAGGCAGATGGCTTTGAATGCAGGATTTACATAGTAATGAGATTCAGGTCACCATAGCTGTCTTTTTCTCTCTGCATTTTGTCTAGGTGTCGAGTAGTGTGTAGGGATGACAGGGATGACGGGATGACGGAATGGGAAGGAAAAGAGGAAAATTAACCCCTTGTTCATGAGGAGAGATTGCTGTTAGAACAAAAAGTTTATCACAGTGAGCTAAAGAGCAGTAGGGTATGACAATGACAAGCACAGAGGAAGCTAGAAGGGCTAAAGGTAGCCACTTTTTAAGTTTCTGACTAGTTTTTTTGTGGGAATGCCACAAAGAATTCTAACTTTAAAATCCCAGGATTTCCTGTAATTTTTATGTTCTGCATTTCTGGTTTAAGAAGAGGTAGTTTGGAACTTTTATCATTACAAGTCCCCCCAAAACTGGAGGAGTTTGTGGACTGAAGACGGGGTATGGATTCTTGCTACAGGGTCTTTGTTTCTTTGGAAAAAAAATTACCATTTTGCTTGGTTTCTTGGCTAAAGACTTGTCTTGACATGACTGTGTAATGGCGTGATTAAAACATAATATTTTCCACTGCAATTGGTAATCCTTAGTATGATCTCACTAGTGTCAGATCTTATCCTGATGACAGATGGGGAACTGGGAACCATGGGTCCTATTTCAAGCTTTGGATGGTGGCACTTGATTTGCTCAATAGCCAGCTCCAGGCATTCCCAAAATATGCATGAGGGCCCAAGAAATCCCAAGGCTATATTTAAAATTATGAATGTTTTAAAGCAGTGTGTGTTTTTTTTTTATCTGTCTTCTGCTCTTCTTTTCTTTATAGTTAGAGGGTTATGGGAGAGTAAGTGATTCTTCCTGCTGTACGTACCATGAAACCAGAAGCTGGGGCTTCAGAAGCGTTGCAAGAAGAACAGGAGAGAAGCTTTAGGAGATCCTTGTATAAATAGGAACTGTGTCACATAACTGCATGTGGACATCTAGGCAGAAGTGGGATAAGTAAGGAAGGTGTTTGTGTGTACAAGGTCTTCAGTATTTGGAAGATATTTCTGGTTCTTCCACACAGAAGTTTTTGAAATGCGGAATGTTTGGAGCACATAGGTCAGGACTCATCTCACCTCACCTTGGCCACTGGAGTTGAGCAAGTTCATCTAACCTCATCCTACAGACCTTTTCAGCATCAGTAGAGAAGGATTCCAACCAACCCAGGGCAGTGGGACAGGTTCCCCCTGGAAGGGGAGGGAGCAGAGGTGCTTTGGTGGCATCTCCTGGAGACTGCAATAAATGCATAGCCAGAGAGGTGCTGCATTTTGGCTGCTTGGGCTGAAAGGGAAAGGGAAATCTAATCAGGCGCCTGGGACAGACTGGGAAAGGAAGGCTTCTTGGCTACTTCCTCCTGAGGAAAAGGCTTAGGTCTAATAGGTCTAATTACATTATTTCTCTGTTTTATTGTTACTGCCATTTGTTTAAAAAGTCAGTAATCCTTTTATACCAGTCCTGTAATGATTATTTAATGTCTGGCTGTTTGTGAACCCACGGAGCTGTGTGAACAGAGGATGCTTCACTGCAGGAGATCTGCACAGTTCTCCGCAGGACAGCGAGCTGGGCCTGAGAGCCTTGACTGGGTGCCTTCATATTCCCACTTGCTGGATGAAAGCAGCGGTAGTTCTCTCCTTTACAAAATGCTGCCAAATGTAGGGCTGTCTCTTGGCTGTATATGGCCACAGTACTCTTCTGTAAGGATAAATATTCACCAGCTAACGTTTGGCTAGCAGGCACTGTGCCAGTGACCAGTGTGTCCCTCAGCTCTGTCAGAGCAGTGACACTTGTTGGTAGCAGCTCTGTGAGTGTCACGATGGGCACCAGCTGCCCTACACCAGCCGAGCCGTTCTGCCCTCCTTGCTGATGTTTTCTGACCTCTTCCTTTGCAGAGCCCCTGAAATCATCCTCGGTTTACCCTTTTGTGAAGCAATCGATATGTGGTCATTGGGATGTGTCATTGCAGAGCTGTTCTTGGGCTGGCCCTTGTACCCAGGAGCTTCAGAGTACGATCAGGTGGGTGTGGATATTGCCCTGGGTGCTGGTAAGTGCACACATCTTCTTCCCTTCTCTTGTCAGAATGAACAGATGCCAACTTTATCACTTTTGCTAATGATGGATCTGTGTTTCTTGCTCTCCCAAGTCAACATTGTCATCATGCACCTGGGAATCTATTCCAGGTAACCAGTGTGCAGCTTGGTTCGCTGGCTTTTAAGGCCTGGCTGCCTGAGTGAAGTCTCAATTGAGAGTCAACGCTGCCATTGACTGGAGACTGTGTACATGTCTCTCCTCACTGAGCAGAGCAAGCACCCGTTCTCTGCTCTAACAGCAAGTGCTGTATAAAGCCTTACTTGTCAGAAGGAACTGCACAAACTCGGCTGCATTTCATAACCCCTTTTATGAGAGTGCATATTAGAAGCAATGACAAGAAGGAGGACGTTGGCATTGATGTAGGCTTCCAGTTAATATAAGCTGTCGTCCCTTTTCTCCCTATAGGATTTTATGCTCTTTTTGTAGACCTGAAACCGATAATGCAGCAGCAGCTAGAGCCAGGGCTGTAGAATACTTTGCATTCCCATAGTATTCTTCAGGCTGATCTTAGCTGTCTGCAAATACAGCCTGAAAAGGGTCTTTTTTTCTTTTAGGAAATATTTTTTTTAAAAAAGGGGAAAAAAAAAAAGGCAGGATAATAAATAAGTTTTTCACACAGTGAAATGTTTTCTTGACTTTTCTTTTGAAACTAGTATTTTTTTATTCAGAGCTCTAAAGGTAAAATTTGGCAGGGGAAATAACGTACAGCAAAGAGCAGGGCTGTTAGTGACTCTAAAGGAAATCAGATGTAGCGGAGAAACTTACAAGCGTTTGAAAATCACATACCAAGCATGAAGAGTAGATTTCTTTCTCTTCCCTGTTGCACCCCAAAGGCCATAAAACACACAGCTGAAAAAGAAATCACCATACCTTATTGGCCAGTTTAACTGCCCAGCAGAAAGCTTCCTCTGGTAAAGTGTGACGAGGGCTCCTGGGGAGCTGGGAAGGGGTAGGGGCTGATGCTGGCCCCTGGCTGCAGCGCTGGCACTGGCTGCAGGCAGGATCCTGGTGCCTCTCAGGTGTGTGAGCACTGATGGACCTAAAGAGCGGCAGAGCTGAGCAAGCCATGCACAGTGAACTGGGGCCTGAGTGCTTGGAAGTGACTGAAACCACGGCTGCTTTTCATGCCTTTATTTATTTAATGTTTTTATCAGTCTCTGTTTCTTCTCTCAAAAACACTTTGCATTCTTCCCTAGAATTTTCTAGAGTAGGTGACTGGTTTTAGTAGTTTTGCAGAGTTTGCAGCAATTTTGCAGAATGAAGCCGTTCAGGAGTCAGGAGGTGCCAAAGTTAAGGTTCTGTGTGGTACCTCAGGCATGTGTGACATTGGTCCTTAATTGTGTAATCACAGACCCTTTCTCCTTTATAAATAAATAAAAGTTTGAGATCCTGGAAACACAAATAGAGTGTCTTTTTGCTGTATGGGTGCCAATGAGGTCATGCTTGTGGATGCAGCTCAAATAACATCATGTAGTCAGTAGAGACAAGTAGTTTCCATACCATGAGGGCGTCAGTTGGCTTGAGTGTATATTCACCTTAGTTCAAAGCTAGTCACTTCATAATCCTCTGTTTGGAACTTCAAACTGCTCCTAGGACAGGCTGTGTGCTCAGGTGGAAGAAAACTGGCAAAAGTTAGAGAGCAAATATCAAATTTGCTGAAATGACTTCCTGGAGAGGGGAGGGTGCAAAGTGTTGAGACATCCCATTGAAATCACTGTGTGGGTCCTTCTCTTTGATCTTTAAAAACTTAGGGACTTTCCTCTTTTCATCCTTAGGCCTTGTGGGAATGCACTCTAAGGGTGAGTTTCTAGTGATGTATGTGATAAATGGAAGGAATTCCATACAGAAATTCTCTTCCTCTCATTCCTTCCACTGAGTTTTTTGGGGTGAAGTCTTTCTATGTGCTACATTTTCTTTTTTTGTCTGTTCTGTTGGTTCAAATGCCTCCTGCACTCCTTCAAGGAAGATCTCCAGAGATCTTCACAGGACGAACGGTGACCTCTCATCCTTCTCTTACAGATTCGCTACATTTCACAGACGCAGGGCTTACCAGCAGAGTATTTGTTAAGTGCAGGGACAAAGACCACGAGGTTTTTCAACAGGGATACAGACTCACCGTATCCCTTGTGGAGGCTGAAGGTAGGAAGACATTCCCTTGTTTCTTTTACCTAGCAGCTGTTGGTTGGAAGTGAGGAAACATTCAGGTCACCTTAGAACCTAAGTTTCTGCTTTTTGCAGTGCAGCACAGACATAGGGGTGGGTACTGCTCAAGGTAAAACTGCCATCCCCAAAATTTGGAGCCTATAATACACCTGCTTGGCATTGTGATGTTGTAAGTTTAAGTCCAGCATTGACCTGGAAATCTCCCTCTAAGTAGTCAGTGAATTGGCCTGTAGTGGGCAGATTTTGCTCTAATGTCTAGCTCACTGCAGGGGAAAAAAAACACAAGCATTTTAATTCTGCAATCAAAACTTCTAGTAAAGCAGGTGAGCCCTGAGTGTCCTGTGCCAGCGTGTTTGGCTTCATGCTGTCCTCAAGGAGAGAGGCCAGTGGGCTCCTGGGATGGGATGCTGCACCTTATGCCAGGGTGGATGTAAGAGACCCCCATGATAGTTGGGAGGGCCCTCAGAGGTCAAATAGAAGAGATAAATCACCTTGTGTCATGTAAGATGTCACATAAATGTGGTGGAGATTGTGTAGATGGTGTCTGGTCAGGCAAGAGGGACACGATGGTCCCTGATGAGGACAGGATGAGGCACATGTGGGAAGTGGTACATAATCTGCAGCTGGTTGCAGGGCAGTGTTGGTCAATACCTGTGTCCTGTTTTGAGCAGACGCCAGATGATCATGAGGCAGAGACGGGGATTAAGTCAAAGGAAGCAAGAAAGTATATTTTCAACTGTTTGGATGATATGGCACAGGTAAGAGCACTGGTGAGTAACCAGCAAGACTGTTCACATGCTTTCCAGCAACACTAACAAAACTTGGTAAGTGGCTGAGGCACATCTCTGAATGTTGAAATCCTGGGTTTTCTCTTCTCTCTCCAGTGCTCTTCTGTATGACTGCTGGCAAGTCACTTGGTTGTCTGTGCTTTAATATTTCCATTTGTTAAAGGGTGACAATGGAAATATTCACCATGGGCACAGAGGAGTGTGCTCACTGTAAAACATCTCTAGCTGGGGGAAGAATGGGAAGTACTAATTCAGTGTCAGTTCAGTATTGCTGTGAGAGCTAATCCCAGCATAACCACTCTTGTGACAGGAGTTTGTGCTGACAAACCAGTGTCCAAACTGGCCCAACATTAGCACCAAACTGGGGTTTGTTCTAGCAAGGTCTAGACATTGTAGAAAATAAAACATGTAAACATGCAGGAATGGAGGACTGGAATCAGAGGACACTGGATAATTCATGAAATAATGTGACAAGTCTTTTTTTTTTTTTTTTCCTGGCACCTGATACATGAATGTGATGTTTTTCATAAACCTACTGACAATTTTTATGTATTTTATATATTTTTTGCTCACAGGACACATAGATAAGTATCTGATGGCACAGTGTATGATAAATACTGTGATTATCAGAGCTTGCCTGCTACCACATGGAAGCTGTTCATCTTCAGTGGAGAGTGACTAAGTGTTTCATTAGCCACTGACCCAGGCCAGCTGAACACTTAACAGTCTGTCTGGAGATGTGACATGCACAAGCCAGATGAGTGGCCACCACGGAGTCTGGCGTGGCTCGTCAGCAGCTACTCCTTTAGACAGGGAGGCTCGCAGGGCACCAACGCGCTCCAACGAGGAGTAAACACAGTTTGCTGGAGACCTGACCATCTGCTCTTCCCCTTTGGCACTCACTCCTGTCCCTTCTCCTTTAGGTAAACATGACAACGGATTTGGAAGGAAGCGATATGTTGGTGGAAAAGGCAGACCGGCGGGAGTTCATAGATCTGTTAAAGAAGATGTTGACGATAGACGCGGATAAGAGGATAACACCCATTGAAACTCTGAGCCACCCTTTTGTCACCATGACGCACTTGCTCGACTTCCCTCACAGCACACAGTACGTGGCTTTTGTTCCCCTTGGGCTTTGAAGAGGAGAGCTGGTTGTGGTGGAGACCAAGTGTATCTGAGAGGCCTTGTTAAGATGTTTAATCCCTAAGTTTTCATCGTTTCCTGCTTAAAAAAAAACAACACAAAAAAGACGATTTCCAACTCAAGGTTGCAAGAATTGTGTTGTAGGTGCTTGGCATTTAAAACGCTGCAGTGTGTGCTACATTAATTATGTAAATATTCAGTAATTACATATTTTTACATTAAAATGCAGAAGAAATTATGCAATTAGTGCTGAAAGTACCAGTCTATTTCAAAGTAATATAGTCCTGATTGTTACTGGAGTAATCAACCTTACCTGCAGCGGGGAGCCAGCCCTTCCTCCCAGAACCTTCCCATCACGCCAGGAGTCAGCTTGGGGCTGTTTGCTTTTTAAGGGAAGAGCTGTTCTGCAGCAGGCTGTTTTACAGGCATAAGCACCAGGACAAGGAGTTCACTTTTTAGCTTGGTTGTTGTCCACCTGTGTCACCTTAAATACCACGTTCTCACCTCATCTGACACATGTGGAATGGGGACGGGCTCTGCTGCCTGATGGAGATGAGAAGAAGTCATGTCTTTAAGCCTGACTGCCCCTTCTCCTAAGGCTGCACCATAGAGCACAGCAGCCTGAAATGCAGGATACCTGCCACGTAGCCTGCCCGTGTCCAGTTCATATAGGGACAGGCTTCTCAGGTGTAAGAAAATTAAAGGGGGCTGCTTGAAGAGCTGCAGAGCTCATGTTTTTGTGCTGCAGAGCAACAAGTAACTGTGTCAGCTGCCCTGCCTGTATATGTGGCTGCAGTATTTGGAGTTTGTTTGAGGTAGCTTTCCCCCTTTTGAAGTAGCTGCCTTTTTGTTACATTTATCATAAGATAAGAGCATCTGCTTACCAGAAGGTAGTGGGTGCACGATCTGTGTAGACCCAGACTTAGCCTGCACAGCCATCTTTGAGCATTGTTACCTATAAATAGATAGTAAGTGATAAATTAAAACAAGATGGGGGATGATTGTGCTAAACAGGAAGAAAGTAAAGTTTCATATAAAAAACATTCATGAATAAAATATTACAGCAAAAATACTGAGTGAGCATCATAGACAATAGTCTTTTAATTTGCAACAGTCCTTCTGACTGTGCAACAACTGATTGTGTAAGATAGGAGAGATTTGTGACCTAATGCATTGTCGTCAGAAATCTTTCCACTAACGCAACACTCCAAAACCACATCTTCATTTTTGAAGTGCTCACTTGTGGCTGCTCAGGCAAAGCCCCAGAAAGATTGGAAATATCACTGGGGCCAATAGCAGTGAGAATTTTAGCCAAATAAAGAATTCAGCATCACGTCTCTGAATCCTGAATGTGTGCCAGCCGGTGTGTAACCCCACGAGCCCCTCCACGCTGGAAGCGGTGACTGGCAAAGAGAGCAGTAAGCTGTAACCAGCATGGCAAGTGGATGGAACTTTGGTCTGTGATTACTTGTGGTTTGGAGAGTAGAAACATCAAAGCCTTGAAAGATGCAGGGAGCTATAATCTCTCTTGGAAATAAATTGGGCAGGCAGTAGAAAAAATGAGAATATATGGATGCTGTAGCTTCTGGAAGGAATCTCTACTGTGGCACGTTTCAGAGAGGCTGCAAGTTCGAGCAGCACAAGAGGGACTGTTCTGCTTTCTTACAAGCAGACAGCAAAGTCAGCTTAGCTTCCCATTTCACATATTTAACTTCCTGGCTCTTAAATTGCTGAGTACTCCTCGGTCTTTCTGTCTGTTTTGCTTTGTCCCTGCTGGTTTTCTCCCCCACCTTTTTTAAAAGTAAAGCCAGAGAACGTGGTGCTGCATTTGTAGAGCTTACACCTTGTTAGATAAAACCATTCGGTAACACACACTGTTCACCATGTACAGAACCTGTAGCCTTCCCAGTGCTTTCTTCTTTGTGCAGGGAGAATTATATTCATACTTGACTGAAAAGAAGTGATCCAATAGCCTTCTGTATTTATTTGTTAAATGTTTGATTTTGCTGGATGTTCTGTGACCAGCAGGTACAGTTCTGGAAGTGAATGCACATAATGGGCAGCTGTGCACAGTGTCCTGAGCCTGGCTGGTCTGCAGGTGTTTATGGCCCAGATCCAGTTACCAAGACATTACTTGTAGGAACAGAGGTGACCATTTGAGTAAGAGACAAGGGATAAAAATATCTAGGTCCCCTTCATCAACCTCAGGGATAATATAAGGTTGTTCTTTTTGAAGGGACACTTTGTCTCTTAAAAATGATGTGAGGATATACCCCCTACCTCCAACACCTTAGAGTGTTACAAAACGGTCAGCATACAGCTGATTTTAACTGCCTGGAATTTCTCTTTTTCTGTGTTGGGATAATGGAAATCAAATGAATGCATTTATGCTTTCTGAGGTTGTGTTTCAGACTCTGAGGTCACATTTGTAAAAACAGTTACTGTGGAAGAATTGTGAAAAACCTGTATTGGTTTTCAGATGTCAAAAAGTGAGATTGTACTAAAAATACAGTGTTGCCCAGGCTCACTGTGTTGCTGTCTCTTAACCTCTGTATGCTTTGGTATTATAATTAATGAAATATGGACAGTTTCATCTACCAGCTGCCTACTGTGCTCTAGCAATGTAGAGAGTATTTAATCTCCTTTACTGGGGCACAAAATAGGATACTTCCCAAAATTTCCATTGCTGTATCAATAACATTTAAGGGAAAGTCAGTGTAAGAAAGAAGCTGTAATCATTCCCCCAGAGATCCAGTTCTCAGTGTGAGATAACCTCAGAACCAGATTTCCTCGGGGCTCTGAGGAATTTGCTTTGGAATAACTTTTTGATATTAATTGTCCCATTGACTGCAAGAGGAGATGTCATGCTTCAAGATAAGCATCTGCACAAGTGTTCAGCCAGACAGGGGCAGTGTTTTAACTGCTTAGCTGGACTCAGCTCTCAGTGAACAACTACTTAAAAGGAACAAAGATGACTTTTTTAGGGGGTCTCGGTGATGAAGAGCAATAAAATTCTTCCTTGCAAAAGACATGTAAAACTATCTTTACGCTTACACTTAGGCAAAAAAGTATGAATTTTCTTTTCCTCTCAGGCTCCATTACCATGAAAAACCAGTACCTTTCATTCTTGCTCTCAGTCTCTTTCAGTCTTTTAATATAGCCACTTTGTAGTTCTTGCTCTGTCCCCTAAAGAGCAACCAATTGCTTGCTTTTGTGTCTTGTATGGCAGTGCAGAGACCCGTGGGAGCACCCAGGAGTCCCAGGGCAGCTGCTTTCATCTTGGCCTCCTTCAGCACAGGGTTAATCTGACTCTCACCAGTTAAGAGAGACCTGCATAAAATAGCAAAGGGCTTTAAGAGCCTAGAAAGTGCTAAGCCTGCCATGGAGACCTATTGCAGGGCCACTGTGATGAACTGTTACCTGTGTGAGTCGCTTGGCTGATTCTCTCTGCCTTCCTTGCCCCCCTTTCCCTGTGCAGTGTCAAGTCCTGCTTCCAGAACATGGAGATTTGCAAGCGGCGGGTGAATATGTACGACACGGTGAACCAGAGCAAGACGCCATTCATCACCCACGTAGCCCCAAGTACATCGACCAACCTGACCATGACTTTTAACAACCAGCTGAACACAGTCCACAACCAGGTGAGGGCATCAATCACAGGCAGCCAGTGCTTGAAACATTTATGTCAGGAGGGCCTAGAAGATGAAAAGCAAAGTAGCATCCCATTTAACATGCCTGCCAAGAGATGGTGCCTTTTTACTCTCCTTCCTCTGCTCTTTTCCTCATTCTCTTTTCTTCAGGCAAGCAGTAATCTTGTGACATTTTGTGTGACGGTGAAATGTTGCCCTTGTTGTTTATGTTGTTGTTGGGGTGATAAATCCTGCTTACTTGGGAGGTTGCTATGGGGAAAAGCTCATTAGTCCCTTAATGCAGCAAGCAGTACTTCACTCCCTGGGTCAGACAGAAGTATTTGTGATCTTACAGCTTTTCTTCAAATTGGCATTGAAGTAAAATGAATTTAAACCCTCTGTAACAGACACAGCACTGATCAACAGTAACTGATCGACAGGAAAGAAGAGTTTAGAGATAATGTTTATTCTTACCTCTCATTGCTTTTACTCCAGGGGCCACAGTTGATGTGGGGATGTATGTCCCCACTACGAACACACTGCACTCACTCTAGTTTGGTGGGCTCTGGCTAATACAAATCATGCTTTGTATTACTTTTACTTGCTCCAGTGGTGGGGGGTGCTGTGTTAACAAATTTTATGTGACTATCAGGATAAGTTGTTTGCTGTGGCACTGTATTGCAGCAGTGAGAGGAAACTCTCTAGAGAGAGCACTCTAGGAGAGTGAAGCTCAAGAAATAGCTGCTTTGAAGCCTTTTGGGAACAGGCTGCTCAAGATTCACTCTAGAGATGGCAGGTGGCATTGCGGAAATGCTGTTTGGAAGACGAGGGAGCTAAAGGAGTCTGTGTAGATGTGCAAGATACTCCTGTGTCAGTGAGAAAACCAGACTTCATGACTCAGGTCTTGATACATGTGATCACAGAAGGTCTTTTGAAATAATTCAGGCAGGCACAGACAGAGATAGGTCATGACTTGGTGTGAGAGAGTATAAGTTACAAACACCAGTTCCCTTTCTAGGCTGTTTCTGAGATGCTGACTAAAGAAATGCATGCTACATGCTCCCCTAGGCCCCAGCTGCAGGGCAGAGACACTGTTTCTACCAAAGTTATTTGTAGGAAAGGCAGACTTGCTTTCATTTCCTCACATTTCACTGGACATTAAGATCAGTTGTTGGCTGGGGAGATCCACAGTCATTTCTGAATTCTCGTAAGGGATGCATGTTCTGAGCAGAACCAGGATGCCCAATGTTCCTAGAAGAATTGGTAGAGATATTTCCAGGAAGGGTGTTCTATTTGAACAAGCTCTAAGCCTTTCACAATTCTCTTCAACGTACCATCTTGGCTATCTTTTGTTTCCTGTCTCTGCAAAATATCTGGGGATTGCCTCCTTCCAGTTATGGCTTCTGAGATGACAAATGTGGGAGCTGCTGTGGTTGCTGCCCAGTGTGTTGCACAGAAGAGCAGATTGCACTTCACAACCTCTGCATTGAGAGGAGATGAGAAGAAGGAGGAAATATTTTGTTGTCACAGCCCTCATGGCTGTGGCAGTGCAGCATGGGTCCAGTGGCAACCAGGACAGTGCAAAATGCATAGTCAGCTCTCTTCTGCACCTTGACCAAAGCCTCCTCCTGGGTTTGTACATTCACCATGAGGAAGTGTTGTCTGACCTATCTCCAGCAGTGTTGCTGGCATGTTTGGACAGAGGGGAAGGATGGGCTCTGGTCTGGTAGTGTCTGGCTCCCTAGGCATGCATGCTAAGAACATCTATTTAGAGCAGTTGCAGAGCTGTTTAGTTGCCTGCAACTTTTAGGCTCCAAATCCAATCCAAATTTTAAAAGGAAAAAAAAAAAAGTCTTCAGATTTCTAGATTTTTGCAGAACTCTGGGCTGATTTATTTTGGCTTTGAAACATCCCCTACTGGAGTTGCTGCTCTAAGATATTTTAAAGACAATTCAAGTGAAGTTCAGACTTGGCAAGTATTAGCATTACTTCTGTTATGTCTTCTGATTACTTCAAATTCCAAACATAATTCAAGGGGCATGTGCCATCTTAGATACAAGGCATCTAAGAGGAAAGGCCAGAATAGATTTTCCCTCTCAGGATGAGATTTCACAGGGCATAGAGGTGCTGAGTCTATCTTACCCCAGAAATGTGAGCAGCTTCTAGAGCTGTGTACATGATGAGTGAACAATGTGATTTGTGGATAGCAACATTTTCTGAGCCCATCTTCCTCATGCTGCAAATCAGAGCCAGTTGGGTGAGAAATGAGGCTGCAGTTCTGCTGTAGGGAATGTGCTGTGTCTCTGAGCAGTACAAGCAGTGCCGTGTGGCCGGAGATCCCATGGCATGGTACAGTAGTGGTTACCTCGGGCAGATTGTGCTCCTTCCCCCAGCACTGCCCTTGTCTCTTTACTCCTCAGTGTCCCTTTCTACCCCTTGTCTGCTGTTTTGGTTTGGTTTTTATTTTATCTTACACTATTTTACTTTATTATTTTTTGGATTTTGCTTCTTCCAGCGTACCCATCTCCCTCATTTTTTGTTTGTTTTTTGTTTTAATTCCCGTCATTCCTTTAGACCACCAACCTGGCTCCCACCTCCTCCAGTGCCACTATTTCCTTAGCCAACCCCGAGGTCTCCATACTAAATTACCAATCTGCACTCTACCAGCCCTCAGCGGCGTCCATGGCTGCGGTGGCCCAGCGGAGCATGCCCCTGCAGACGGGAACAGCGCAGATCTGTGCCCGGCCTGACCCCTTACAGCAAGCCCTCATCGTCTGCCCACCAGGCTTCCAAGGTAAGTGACGGCCTCACCAGGTCTTGGCCTGCTGCTTCGTCCAGCTCTTGTTGGAAATGAGTCTCCTCAGTGCAGGTCATGTGGCAGAAAAAAGGGCTGCCCTGGTAAATCAGAGCAGTGATGTTGTTAGAGATGGGAGGGTTTGTGTTGGCAGATGATCTTGCAGGCACCTCTAACATCCTGAGCTGGAGGCAGCTGATACTGAGAAGGGGCTGGGGGGACAGTATGTGGTACTTGCCACTCTCTGCCCTAAACAAAGTTAAAGGCTCTTTGGCCATACTCTGGTAAACTTGAAAGCTTTCCCACACAATACCAGAAAATCAGTAGGTATGTAATGGGTCATACTGTCACTTCTCAGTGACTCGATTGCTAAAAGGGGAACTTGGGAGGGTAATACAGCAGGGAGTGTGGTGCTGGTGGAGACGAGGGTTCTCCCCCATAACAGATGCTCATGAGCACTTATGAGGACAATTCCTTCAGCTCCAGCCCTGCTGCAAACAGCTCTGCCTGTGTATTCTAGTGTTTACTTGCTGTAGCAATTTGGAAAAACTAGCCAAGTACCTGTAGGAAATTATCTAAATAGACCTCAGTTCAGCTGGTGCAACTTCTGCTCTTCATTTCTACAAGCCTGTCTGTGCATTAGTCTCCAGGCACTTGTTAAATGTTCTGCAAGCTTATCAAAGCTCTTGTGAACTAGACAAGTTTAGCTAGACCTCTTCTGCGTAGTTAAAATGCATCTCAAGGGTTTGACTTCAGAAGTGGAGTATGTAAGCGACCATCTTCAGCTTGCTGGCTTGAGAAGGCTCCAAATTAGAGGGGGCAGCACAGGCTGTGCCATGCAATGAGGTGCTGGAGAGGGAATTTCCTCCAGCTCAGTTAGGCTAATGTGGGGCTCAGCCAGTAGTGATTGGAATTTGGGGTGTGCTTGAGCCTTTTAAATGTGAATCCCAAGAAACTGCGCTAGAGAAAATCACCTGTCCCCATCAAGGCTGAGGGAGTATGGCGCTCTGGATTCCCATCCCACTTTGGTGTAAAGAGAGCATTCTCATATAGCAGTGGGTTTGTGCTGACAAAGACCATTTCTAGTTAATCCAGGGAATATGGGGAAGAGCCATTCACTCCCCTCTTTTCCTTTTCTGCCTGTGCACACTGTATTGCAATACTTCCCATGCGCTTGAGATATCCTAAAAACACAAACTCAGCTAATCCCTTAGTGCCTTTGGAAATGTCTTTTCTGCACCCTTACAGCCATATGATGTTTGTGAACATTTGATGAACATCTTTGGGCCAGGATAGAACATGTGGCACTCTGATAGCTGATTATTCAGGGGGACTGAACATTGCAATTTAAGTGGACATCAGCAAGTGCCTTTAGGTTCTTCTGAGAGCCAGCCCTGTTCCTGGCAGTGCTGCTGGTGGCTTATGCTGTACCTTCTGTGCTGGTGGAACAGGGTTACAAGCCTCCCCTTCGAAGCACGCTGGGTACTCGGTTCGGATGGAGAACGCCGTTCCCATTGTCACTCAGGCTCCTGGGGCCCAGCCTCTTCAGATCCAGCCAGGACTCCTCGCACAGGTAAGCAATTCCAAAGGCACCAAGCTCAGCAGGTATTTTCTGTGTTGTTTAGCTCTTGGAGGCTGAGGAGAGAAGCTTTCTCGGAGGGCCTTCTGTGGTGCAGTTCGAGACTTGGGCAACTGTATATGGGTCTGCAGCTTTCTCTGAAATGTCAAAATCTCCTCTAGCTCATTGTTCAGCTCAAAGACTATGTCAGAGTTGCAAAAGCCACTGGAAAAACCCTTTTTCTTCTTGTTTTTCTACTGAAACCAGTAAGAAAGCCTCAGGGAAAGCAGTGTCTGTCCTCTGCTGAGAAGGAGCTTATAATAACCTCCTGCATCCTCCTGAACTCAAAATCTTGGGGGTAGTTTGCAGCCAGGAGTTGCACTGGTGAATTTCATGCTGCTGATAAATACCTTTCATGCTTTAAGTTTTCACTGTTCTGTTGTATGAGCACCTCTGCTCTTGAGGTATGAGACATAGGAGGCAGAGGCAAGGGCCCCACACTTAAGGAGCTCTCCTTGTCAGCAGTTCTTATTGGCACAATTGTCTGAAATGTTCTCACAGGAAAAACATGGTTCCTCCTAAAAACAAAAACAAACAGGAGAGGGTATTACTGATTACATGTACATCCTCAAGGGGTACCCCAGCTTCTCAAACCAGAGGAGCAGTCCATTCCTCCTCGTGCTAGCTTCAGTGAATCTGCCTCAACTGTTTTTGAGCTGGCACCATGGTGCCTCTGCTGACACCAGACAGAACAAAAAAAACCCACTTAAAACTAAGTTATGCAAGCTGGGAAAAATGACCAGCTAGTTACAGAGGCACGTCTCTGTCTCAGGCTTGTTTGATCAGCCATGCCAGCACATTCATATGGAGTCAGGTACCAGCAGACTTCAGGGTTTACACCTGTGTGTTGCACTGCTGGGCTATGACTGTTGGTGCTCTTGCCTTCCTTTCCCAGCTGCTTGTCACACTTCTCTGGTGAAGACAGATCAAAATGCAACTTGCAGCCTGTGTGATTTTCATCAGCTAGCATGCCCTGCCCCTTCCCAATAGCAGAGCCTTTGTCAGAGAGCTGTCTGAAACATCAAACCAATCTCTGCTGCAGCCTGTTGTAACAACTGACATGGGCCACCTCTCTTGTTTGGTAGGAAAGGAGAGCCTAAGAGGCAGAGAAACAAAAGCCATGCTCCAAAGCAAGGTGCAGTCTGTGCAGGCTCAGTGGCTGGCACCTCCTGCCTGAGCAAGAAGTCAGCCAAGGCAGTGCGTGAAGGAGGTCACAGAGCTTTACATGTCCCCACCATTCTGCCAGACCTCCTGTGGTGTTGTGTCCTTTGGGGCTCAAAGGGGTGAGGGCTGCATCTGAAATATCTCAAAGACAGCAGGATCCTGAAAGATCTCAGTACCTCCTGCTCCTTCTTTCTTCTTATGGTGGCCTTGTTGGGCTCTATGCAAATGAGGAATGTTTGATAGTAAAGCTCCTCCTGAGCACCCTCCTGCCCACAGGTTACCAGTTTCAGTGCTGCTTCTGCCACGTGAACACCAGTTTCATGGGCTCCCCCTTTCGTACCTCCTACTGACATTTCGTTCACTGTCACTTCCAAAGGGGATTTCTGGCTGTTTGTGAGAATCACTCCTCACTTGCCTAGATTTTTAATTTTTGATGTAATAAAAGAGAGGAGACATGCCTGTTGCCGTGCCTGTTTGTCTCGCGCGATGAGAAATGCGAGCTGTCTCTGATGGCAGGGCGCTCTGATTGATGCCGGTGGCATCTGGTGTCCGTGGGCCTCGCTCGGTTCGGGCTGAGCAGCTGGTCTGATAAACAAATCTGTACCCAATTCCAGTTTCCTGAATGGAAAAACACAGCTTCTTTGTGATGCATTGTAGTCACATCTGATCTCGGCGGCTGCGTGTCTCTCTCCCAGCAGAGAGCTGTTCCTCTCATGCACAGCTGCTTATCTAATGCTCTTCAGCCTGGGCCGTGCGACTGCTGCAACTGCGAGAGGGACTGGCCCCGGCAGAGAGTGCAGCGCCTCCAGAGCCCACTTCTGTCTGTCCCCTGCTTCATTTGTCCCGCTGATGAGGCATGGTGCTGCTCCTTGTGCTCCCAGGACTGTGTAGTGCCATCAGGCTTTCTCCCCTGCCCAGCACATGGCACAGGTTTCTGTGTTTGCACTCCTCAGGATGCCTGTGGCTGGTAAAGCCTGACTGCATCCCAGCACAGCTGGCATCCAGTTCTTCCTGTGCACTTTGTACAAGACTGGCTATCCCAGATGAGGGACGGAGGGATCCAGGGCAGAGACACTGACAGAGCTTGAGCGTCATGTCTGGCAGCTGTGTGTCTGCAGCCTGTGGCATGGAGCTAGGCGGTGCAAGGCAGAGCAAGCAGCCTGAAAGATGCAGGGTCAGTGGCTAAAGTAACTTGTTTGTAACTTCTCTGGGTCTCCTTTCATCCTCTCAAGCAAGTGTGGCCCACATACTGTATGCACAGAGATCAGTGAGAAGAGACTGATCCTTTCTTTACTAATAGCTCACTGCAGCTTCAGATCTCAAAAGAAGCAAAGCTGTAGTTTTCCAGCAGGCTTCCATGGTGTGACCCAGAACTGCACCCTGCCCTTGAATAACACCCTGTATTCTTGATTTTCTCTCCTTTTAACTCCTTCCCAACAACACTTCCTACAGAGGTCCTGACACTGGCTTTCAAAATGTTATTCCATTAGTTGTTCCTGCTCTATATCCAGACTATGAGCTTGGTCACTCCAGGGACCCACCAGCTCCTGAGGACAAGGGCCAGAGCATTGCTTCACCACCCCAGCAAAATTTCATAGTAATGCACTAACTAGGAACAGGCTGCAGCTGCCAGGACAAGCCTTCCATGTGTAAGCAAGGCACACTGTGCTGGTGGATCAGCCTAGACAAGTCTTATCTGCAGATTAAATGATTCAGTGGTCCTTACCTAATAAGTGAGGAATTTGTGCCTAGGCCCTGACACTGCATCTAAATTTATGCACTGCAGTTGGACAAGGAGCTTAGATTTGTTCCATACCCTTCCTGAAAAGGGAGGAAGCAGTTTTGTCTGCAAGTAAATCCAGGTAGTCCCCTGGGATTGACTGCAACAGTAGTTCAGTCTCCACTTTTAAAGCAAAGCTGAGGTAAAAAAAGAAAAGAGAATAATAAGAAGGCTTTTTTCCTCACTGATTTTTTCTGCCTTTGCCTCATCCTTTTACCTGCTCCAATCATCACCAGTCCATGGTTGTGGCTCCCTAGATGAAGGGCTCTCAGGAGCCTTGTGACTCCATCCTTTATAGATGTTGCCAAGAGGCCTCACTATAGCAGCCTTTTCATGTAACTCAGCAACACAAAAAGTTACAAGATGGTCAAACTTAGGAGTGGGACTGGGAAAAGATGTTTTTTTGCAGGGTGGACTGTTTTGGGGTTTGTGTCACTGGGGGATAGGAGGGAATCATGGGGACAGTTAACACGATTGATCATTATGAGGGTGGGGAAGATGATAAATGCTTGCCTAGAAGAAGCCTCCCCTCAAATTTAGCCTCCTTAGAGCAGTGAGATAACACAACACAGGTCCAGTACAGTAGTGCAGGCTGGGACTGAGGTGGACTGTAGCTGGTATCCCTGAGTTCCTCAGCCCGGGAGCAAAACACTGACAGAGCCACAGCTGGGCAGCACATAGCTAAGAAAGTTTCCCAGGTCCAAAAAACAATCATCTGACTTGAGTGTGGAGTCACTGGAGCAAGATAACCTGAGTCATGCCTGTGGCAGCACAGCTGGAGGGGTGAATTCTGCATAGCAGATTGATGGCTCAAGTCACAGGGCAGAGGTTTTCCTGTGCCCCCTAAGAGGGGGGAAAAAGTTGGAGAATGCATGGAGAGGACAGTCATGCAATGTGTAGCTGTGCATTACTTGAGAAAATAAGCTGGCTGTAGAAAGGGAAAATTAACAATGGAGCCATAGTGCCCAGCTGATCTGGAGAGTCAGAATTAGAAGGTGCTAAAAAATTTGATGTTTGGGTTGAAACGCCAAGTTTTGATCCCTTCCGTTCCCAGTTTAACCTAAAACACAGCTGCTGCTTTGTATGGCAAGGATTTTTTTGCCCCCTCCTTTGCATTCTCTATATTGATAACTGTTCCTGATTATACTGTGGTTTCCTAACAGTGTTTGTCATCTGTGACTGGGTGGTGACAAGAGCTATGCAATATGACCATGATCATTTTTAGGGGGCCCCAGCTGGGCGTGGACCATCGCTCGTGTTCAGTGCTGGATGCCTTTAGCTAAGGAATTGCTTTCCCTCTGTCTGACAGCAAGCATGGCCCAGTGGCACTCAGCAGATCCTGCTCCCCCCGGCCTGGCAGCAGCTGACCGGAGTGGCCACCCACACCTCTGTCCAGCACGCGACCGTCATCCCGGAGTCCATGGCAGGCACCCAACCGCTGGCAGACTGGAGGTAAACTGGAGGTGCTTGGAGGCGCCCTGAAGCACCCACAGCTGCTGGAGGAGGCATGAGGGCTGGGGTCGTGCAAGGCTACAGGAGCCCGTGGCCCCACTGTCTGGGAGCTGTGGAGGCTTCTCTGCTCCATGCCCTCGGAGTAGAATGATGTTCCCACACCGCTCCTTCAGCCCATTCCCTGGGGAAAACGCTCCGTCATGGGAAGGTTGGGAACCCAAGAGTCCCTGGAGGAGAGGGAAACTCGGTGAAGGGTGGTGGGAGGCCCGCTGAGTTGCATTTCCAACGCGTGCCTGTATCCCCGCCGTGCAGGAACACGCACGCCCACGGCAGCCACTACAACCCCATCATGCAGCAGACCACGCTGCTGGCCAGCCATGTGGCCCTGCCCGCCGCCCAGCCCGTCAACGTGGGTGTCGCTCACGTCATGCGCCAGCCGCCTGCCGCCGCCTCCGCCAGGAAAAGCAAGCAGCACCAGTCGGCTCCACGGTGAGTGCCAGGGCACCCCAGCCTGGCTGCTTCTGACCGCGGCCCTGCCACGCCTGTGGGGCGAAACAGGATTTGTTCCACGGCCCGTGAGGGATTAGATCACACATTTTGTGAGGGGGCTCTTGGCTGCCTCGCATCTTCGGTACCCGGGGGTGTTTTATGGCCAGCAAGCATCATTTTGTGTGGGAGTTAGTGGCTGGAGAAGATGCAGAATGGGAGGCTCAGGCCCTGTTCATACAGATTGCTGTGTTGCTGTTATTACCTGGGGCCTTGTAGTCACGATGATTTAAAAACGTAACCATGTAAAAATGTAACCAGGTCAGTGTGGCGCAGTGCCCGGTTGCCACACTTTTTCTTCCCACATCACCTGGAAGAAGCACTCCTGAGGTGCAGCATCTGCACCTTGAAGGGGCTGCATCTTCACAAACACGTGCCTGATGTGTGCACACAAGACCTGCCCTTTCAAAAGCGGCGGGCTGATGGCAATCTTCTGAGGTTTATTGCCACGGGGAGTGCAGCACTGGGGTGGCTTCAGGCCAGCTGAGCTCTCCAGCTCCTAACATAGGAACTAGCTCCTGTCTTCAACAGTCCGCACCAGCAACAGATACCTGTTATTACACCCTGGTCTTGTTATATTTATGGCAGCATAAAACAGGGAGCATTTTTTAAGGACAGTCCTTAGAATCTATCATCTCTCAGTAGGACCATTTGGCTCTGGAAGGAGGAGTCTGGGGTTTCTTGCAGAGCTTGGATGGTAAGATGGTTGGAGCACTGTAATCTTGTTCAGAGGACAAGGCTGTTCAAGGTACAGCTGCTCTGGAGAAGATCCCCTAGGCCTGTCACACTTCTTTTTTAAAAGAAAAAACACAAAACAGTGCAGGGTAGGGAGCCAAAAGGGGTCACCACCTGTGCAGTGACAAAAACCTGAGCCTGTGGTTTTCCTGGGTGATTGGACTGCTGCCAAAGGGGCTCTGAGTTCACTACCAGTTTGACTCAAGTAAAGAGGCCAGTATTTAAATCCTTCCCATTTATCTGCTCTCTAATGTTGGATTTACTTTGGGTGGGCTCCAGCTGTCTTAGTCTATTCCTAAACAGAAAGGCAGCTCTGTGCCCAGCTAGCCAGCAAAAGAGACTGCCTGTTGCAGCCAGTGTGCCTTTGCAGGGCCTCCCCTCTCCTGTCACTTCTAGGGAGGGGTGGCTGTGTCCAGGAGGAATGGGGCACTCTCAGAGCAAAGGGTTTCTACAGCTTCATTGACTGTGACTCTTTTTGTGCCAAATGAGGAACCATGCTCCTTTGGAGAGGAGGGTACTCCACGCTGCTCATTGGTATTCAAAAAGCACTTTGAATGCTACTGTGCAGCCATTTGTAATGCAAAAGAGCCTGTGTAAGTTGGTGTAGTGTGATATACTGCCAGGGTGACTTCCTTTTGATGGATGCCACCTAGTCCCTTTGTTAGCTTTTGGGATAGGCTGAGCATGCAGCCCAGGCCCCACAGTAGAACAAAACCAGAACTTTGGGGTTTTCTTCCTTTTTGAATCTCCAGATGTTCTGCAATAGCAAAAAGAAACACGACCAAGAAAGGAAGTGTGGGAAATGAGTGAAATGGGCTTTAGTCAGTGTGCTTTGGTAAATAATCCCATCCACACTGCACTGTTTGGCTGATAGTTTTTTGTGTTTGGATCCCTGATCCAAGTGGGACTTTTATGACTGGTCAGGCAGGGAAGCTGAAGTGGGAAGACTGGGAATGTTTCTCTACTGTGTAATAAATATATTGTTTATTTCTTTCTGATTTATATGTGTTGTACACTGCTTCACACAGGAATGAAACGGAGTAAATGGCCTCCCATCTGCCTGCTCTCATCCATGCAACACCACTGTCCTGGAGGATAAAGTACTGAGCAGGAAATGTTCACTGAAAAAGATTTTTAAACAGAAATTCATTTCTGTTTAAAAAAAGTTTTTCCTGATAAGTGATTGTTGTTTTCCACAACTAATTCTAATTTTTCCTCCAGTTTTTTCTTGCCAAAATATATCTGGTCATGATGCATCCATGCAGGATACAGGAGGAAGGGATTATCATTTGGGTGGTTCTTCCTCCTGTGTCAGCCATGCTGTGCCTGCCTTTGTTCTGTATGTCTGGGCTTTGTGGTTGGCCTTTACCCTCCCAGTGCAAACTCCTGAGAGGCAGCAGTTCTCATCTGGAAATTTCCAGGGAAAACCAATTTGAATTTTTTATTAAAAGAAACTACTTTTCAAACAATTATAAGTCATGCAAGGCAGTGTCTTCTTTGAAGGACTGTGCCAATTTTGCAGTTTTCCTAGACTCTGTAAGCCAGTGTTACTGAATCAGACACCAGGACTCACAAACCATGACAACGGGCGACTTAAGCATGCAGGGTTTTAACCAACTAACACTTTTTCCCATTTCCAGCAATGCATCCACCTATGAAGTTTCATCCTCTCAGTCCATCAGCTCGCCCCAGCGGTCGAAACGAGTGAAGGAGAACACCCCTCCCCGCTGTGCCATGGTGCACAACAGCCCTGCCTGCAGCACCTCGGTCACCTGCGGCTGGGGCGACGCGGCCACGAGCAGCACGCGGGAGCGGCAGCGGCAGACGATCGTCATCCCCGACACCCCCAGCCCCGCCGTCAGCGTCATCACCATCAGCAGCGACACAGACGAAGAGGAAGAGCAGAAGCATGCACCCACCAGGTGAGCAGTAGTTCTCTGCTCTTCTCTGTGTGCAGGAGAAGGAGAGACGGGCACAGAAGTGCTGGCATTGCTGTAGGTTTCCAGGAACTACGTTTGCATCACATCAGCCAGGCTGTCTTTGATTTGTGAGGAAAATTACTAGCTGATGACTCTACAGATTCAGGTAATACTCACTTCTGTGCTGTACATTTGCTGTGTGACCTTGGAGAAGTGCAGTAGTCTCTCCGTACCAAACTCATAGTTATCTGTAAGAGGAAAGACCAGTTTTCTCTATCTCCTTTTTGTGGAAAGAAGACTTCAGATAGCCTGTGGTGATGAACCTGTGAGACATCTGTTTAAAAAAAAAGACAGAAAGAAGGGCTTGGAAGGAAGGGACCTTAAATTTGCCTTTTCTCTTTCTAAGTGGTCCAGTCATCTGTGGAGAGCATTAAATGACATCTTCCATATGTTTCTTCCGTATTTTCTTTAAAAAGCTCTCAAAAACAGTGGTTCTGTCATAAATACTCAATAATGATAAATATGCTGCGAGAGGGTTGCTCAATCATGACTGTGTAGCCAAAATATCTTTGAACTATAGTAAAAGTGGCAGAAACTGCTTTTTGTCTGATGCTGCAGAGGGGCATAGATGAGGCTAGAAAGTGGTGGCTGAGTTTGCTTCTCAGAGAATTACCTCATCTGAGTGAACAGCATGGCCCAGGACTGCTGCCATTGCTGATCATCCCTTGTGGATCAGAAAGGACTTAATTTTCTAGGACTGTCCTTTCAGCCCCTTTCATCACATGCAAGTGCTCTGGGTTTCCCATCTGATGCCAGTCACAAGACATCACACTGCTTTATAAGATGTAGAGAAGTAGCTTTGCAAACAGCTGAATAATTATACCATCTCTATATTGGTAACTGAAACTTTTAACCTTATCCTTCCAATGCTGTTGAGAGAGGATTATTATTTTATATATTAGAAGACATTCCATGGCAGATTTTCCTTTAATCACTAGAGATTCCTCTCTGTATCTCTGCGTCTTTGCAGTGTGGTGATAAGTGAAGCCTGAAAATGTGCACAGAACAGATGAGGCGCATTTGGCCTCCAGGAGCTAAAAATCTGTAAAGAAAAGCCATGTGATTCAGGCATCTAGGCTGGAATTTCAACATGCTTCCCAACAGCCACCACTGATTCCCATTCCTCTCTCTGTGCTAGTGAATTCCACTGGGCAGCAAGAGCTCAGTGCCTCTCAAAGTCAGCCTTGCCATGAATGCAGCGGTTCACAGGGCAGCATAACATATTTCACTTTAAAAACAAAAACAAAAACAAAAATTTAAATTGCTACAGGATTCCTTGCTTAGATGGGGAAAGAAAGCATGTATCCAGAAAGAGTTGTATGAACACCAGTGTGAAAGTCAGGGAGACTATAAATAAGGAGTCTCTATTTCCAGGGCTCTTCCAGGAAAGAAAGGGGAAGACAAAACTGAAGCTGAAAACTCAAGAGTTGTGGAAGCTCTTTTAAAGCATGTTTACCCATGGTGCTGATTCCAGGCTTTGGGACATTGTGTGCAAATCATTAAACTTACCATCTGGGTGTCATTCTTGGGTCCACAGAGGGGTGAAGGTAAGAGCTGGGATATTGCAGCCACTTCACCCAATGGTTGTCTCCTCTGCTTCAACTTTGCGTCCGTCTGACCAGTTTCTTTACTCAGCACCTCTCCAGAAAAACAGACAGAACAAAGTTCACAAACATGTCTAGGAATTGAGTTTGGAGTTTGAGGTATTAAAAGATTTGGGTCTGCTGAAGGGCTTGGAAAGTTGTCCTGGGAGCCAGACTTACATAAACAAAATGGCTTTGATATGACTGAAGTATATTCCGGACACGTTCCTGCCTGGGATCAGATCCCTGGCTACTTTTTGTATCCATATGGCATATCTATAGTGTGCCAGGGTGCCAGCATTCCAGAAAGGCCAGAGCTTAAGAGCCAGATTTAATTTCTGAGCCATGTAGAGACATTTTGCATGGACACGAGTGAGTTAAATTGCCTGTGCAGATGTAACCAGAGGAAATGGAGAATTAGAGGTAGAGACACAGATAGAAAACAGCATGGCCAGAATGAGAATTTTTTGGTTAAAGTCTCCAGGAGAGCAAAATCAATTTGCTCAGTACCTTTTGACATGGGTAGATATAAGACCAGATTCTCAGCTGGAGTGAGAGTGTACCTTCCAGTCAAGGAAGCTGTATCAGCATTTAATGCCAATGAACTTTGTCCCTGCTGAAGTCTTTCTCATTGAAAGTTTGTCTCATTCAGGAAAATGCCTCTAAGTTTTCTTACGTGCCTATTTTTTTTTGGCTCCAAGAAAAATGGGAGTGACAGTGAACTATGTGCTTAATGTAATCAGGGCCCAAAGGTTCAGGATCTGAGCTGAAAATGAAACCATGCAAAGAATGCATTGTCTGGCTCATATATGCAAATATTACCATATTGGGCAATAGCTGTGCTGTGGGGGTGAAAAGTAAGGAATCACTTGAAACGTGCTATTTTTCACATCCTAGAAATGTTTGCTTTTTCTGGGTTAGAATATGGAAATCATATGGCATTTGACAGATCAAAGGTAACTGCCTGATCACATCTTATTGATAGTAGTGGTAACTTTGCATTAACTTCGCTGCCACTGAATCAGCTCCTGAATTTACTACAGCATTTGCTTCTTTTATTTATTACAAGGCTAGAAATTACCATTTGACCCATAAGAAGAAATATGTTTATTTTATTTATTCCTCAGTGAAGAGAGATTGGTTGTGAGAAGTATTAGATCCTTTGATGATGTAAGAGTTTGTCTCAGTTTAAGAAGTAACAGCAATGTTGTTAAAATATGATACTGCCAATGAGGTAAAGGAGCCCTAGAGCTTGGATTTACTTGGACAGAAAAGCCTTTCTGTAATACCAGACCAGCAGAGAGAGCTTTTCTCATACAGAATGCACATTTTTTATTGGTGAAAGAAAAATCTGAAAAATTGTGATGTGGGTAAGATTTTCCTTTTCCTACTGAAGGGTAGGAAGTGTTACGTGTTTATGAAATACCGGCTGATCAGAAAGGCAGGGCAGCACATTGCTCGTTTTGCATTGTTGGTGAGTGTAGCTCAGTGTAATCTGTATAAAATCAATAGTCATCTGAAAATGCTGGGCTCCTGTTGGATAGAGGTGCTGGGGAGGTGGTGTGAGATGAGCTCTGGAGGACCTGCTCGGTGGAGCCTTGTCAAAGGGGGCCATCTACTGGGCCCCAGCCCCGTGCCTAAGGCACAGTCACCAAGGAGAAACTTCAGCTACAGTTGAGCAGGGCTCATCCTCAGAGAGATGGCCAGAGATTTTCAGGGGGAAAATTCCTGATTAGAAAAGTCAGTTTGTCAAAAACAAGGCATTTCTGCTGGCTACATTGAGTTTTTTCTAGTAATACCCTCAACACAGTGAAATCTGGAAGAGCTTCAAAACTGCAAAACACTTTGACCTTCATTTAAGGGAAGAAAGTGCCAGGGAATTAACTAATTAGGTAGAAGACTTCTGATTTCTGGTTTAATGAAAATCCTTCAAAATGTAAGAAAATAATAGGAAAATTAATTTGAAACGGTCAAAATAAAAAGGGAACATTTTTACCAAACGGAACTGTTTTCACCTGGTTTCTGCTGGTGACAAAGTTTTGCATGTGATATTTTGTCCTATAGAACAGCAGGGGAAAAATGCCTTATAAAGAGCATTTTAAGAACAGGAAACAGTTTTGTCACATTTTGTTTAATGAGCTTGTACACTCTCAGCTCAGAATACTTTACAGAGAGATTAGAAAATCTAGTGGACAGAGCAGCTGACTGATAGTGCAAGTGCAGTCTCAGTGGTTGGAGCACACACTCAGTGAGTAGCACGTAGTAGGGGTTAACTACTCCCCAGCATGCAGCTTCACCTGCATCCTCCCTTGATTAAATATTTCTGAAGCTCAGAAGTGGAGAGAAAGCAAGAGCTGAGACATGGAGCGGAGAGGCACAAAGGCACCTTGAGCTGTGGCAGGGACAAAGAGCACACAAGGTCCTGGGGAGGGATGCACTGGGCTGCACTGGTACACTGCACAAGGATATTGCTGCATCCATGCATTGCAGAGCATGGCACAAGGAAGGATATTGCTGCATCCATGCATTGCAGAGCATGGCACAAGGAAGGGGTGGAAAGAAGGACAATGGATGTGGCTGTTGTGACATGCCCAGATGGCTTCCCCTCCAAGCAGTAAGTACAGCAGCCAAGGAAAACAGGACTCTACTTGAAACAATACAATGATGGTCTTCAGCTGAGTGGTTTTGGAGATGCTTCCAAAGAGACAGGAGAGCCCCTCAGCTCCCTACTGCCTGTGGTGGTGTCATAGGTAACATTCTCCAGCTTGGTTTTCCATGGGATCCTGACAGTAATTTCTGGACAAGGCAGACTGTCTGCTGCTATTGTTTTGGCATACTGAGGAACTGCCTCATTGACCATCTTCACTGGCACAAAATCCTTGCGGAGTTGTGGGGCTTTCCCCTCCCTCTTAAGATGGGAAGCTCTGTGGTGTAGTCTCTGTAACAGAGCATAAGCTGGCACAAGTTTTTATTTACCTTCTTCACATTGTAGTGCAGTGATGGTGAAGTCCACTTCAGAAGACTTACACACAGAAATTGCTGGCAGGCACAAACCAGGTGTTTATGTCAACTTGCTGATATGCATATGTGAGGGGAAAAACACCATTTGTAATTCTCTTTTGACATCTAGCCTATTGTGGTTGTGTTCTGCTGTGCATAGTAATGCACCGACTCTGCATAGCAATACATTGACTAACCACAGTCATTTGGTTAAAAGATTGCTGCCTTCCATCTCCAGAAGACACTGACATGCAGCTAATACTTAAAATTACAGAGGTAGACGGTAGCTCTGTCAGCAGACCTTCAGCAGCAGGACCTTTACAACCTGCTAAGCAATTCAGTTTATATGACTTAAATAAT